TATTTATTACATATGTAATTGTGTTTTTCACTTGCTGTACTTTTCTATCTTTGACAAATATGAAGATGTTATGGATTAAAATAGAATGTCATAATATTTCCATTAAAACTAACCCCAAAAAATCCCATTTAATGGCTTTTTACATAGCAGCAAAGTTTTGGGGAAGGAATCAAAGTCACTAAAGGACAGATAAGTATATAGATTCTTCCCCATGCAGAAATAGAACAAGTTATCCATCTCACTCACTTGCTCACCTTCTTACTTTCTTCCCATGTGTTAATACCTCAATGTGGTCCCCAAAATTTTCTGCCTCACTGGGGTACCCAGCCTGTAGTCTCAAGTCTGTGAAACAATGGGATCAATCACCGTAATTAAGTTGTGCCAGGTGCCAGAGCTGGCATTGAGAAGAATGAGAATAACTGTAGTAACTAATCACAGGACCCTTAAAAGCAAGGAGTTTTCTCTGATTTGTTATGTTTTGTTTTGTTTTGTTTTGTTTTGTTTTTTGACACAGGGTCTTGCTATGTCATGCAGGCTGGCCTTGAATTCACTACATAGCCCAGGCTGGCCTCTAACTTGCAGTGATCCTCCTGACTCAACCTCCTGAACGCTGGAATTACAGGTCTGCACCACCATGCCCAGCTTTCTGTTTGTAGAAGGGAAAGTCAGCGAGACTCACAGCAGAGTGGTTCTTGATTACTGAGGTGGGGGGTCCACCACAAGAACCTGAGAACAGACTCTAGAAGCTGAGCATGGTCCCTGGCCAACAATTTGCAAGACAAGAGGGCCCTCAGTCCTACAATCACAAGGAAATGAATTCTGCCAGTGCCCCAACGCAGCAAGGAAGTGAATCTTTCCTGAGTTGAACTTCCGGAGTAGGGTGTAGCCCAATAGATGTCTTGATTTCAGCCTGTGGTCTTTAGCAGAGCCCTCAGCCAGGCTGTGCAAGATTTGTCACCTATAGAATGGCGAGCAAGTGAAAGGGTCTTTATCTTAAACTAATGCCAAGCTGCTATATTCATGAAAATTTTTTATAATCAAAAACTAATATACCCCATGTCAGCCAGGATGGGCCAGTTTATATTACATTAAAATACTTTAAGTGCCACAAGACCTCAGAATCACAAAACAACCAAGGTTTACTTCTCACTCATACAAATAACCAGTAGGAATATTAGAAACATTTCACTTGGCCTGGCGTGGTGGCACACATTTGTAATCCCAGCACTCAGGAGGCTGAGGCAGGAGGATCATTGTGAGTTCGAGACCAGCCTGGGCTACAAAGTGAGCTCAAGGCCAGCCCAAACTGCATAGCAAGACCCTGTCTCAAGAAGACCAAAAAGAAAGAAAGAAAGAAAGAAAGAAAGAAAGAAAGAAAGAAAGAAAGAAACATTCCACTTAAAATCATCACTCATGGGGCCCAGGGATATAGTTCAGCGGCACAAGCACCTGCCTGGCAAGCATAAGGTCCTGAGTTCAATTCCTGGTACAAAAAAAAGAAAATCACCACTCATGGACCAAAATGCTGGTGGCTCTGTTTTAGTATTCGCTTCCATGATGGCTAGGAAAAGAATGGGGCTACAAGGTTTCCCATGACAACTAAATGCCTTCACCTGGCACTGGCATGTGTCCCTTCTGTCCGTAGCCTGCTAACCAGACCTAACCATGTGGCCCTACCATGAGCGGGAAGATAAGGAGTACAATCCTCTTGTGTGCTTAGAAGGAGGGAACAGGATAACAGCAAACAAAAATAATGCCACCACGGCTAAGAAGCTATCTGGTAGAGAAGAGCTATCTGCTCGTCTCTTTCCTCTTCTTATTTGGAATGTTGGTAGATTCCACCAACACCAACACCATGAACGTGAGCTAGAGACCAAAGCACACCCACTCAGAGTTCTCAGGCTAGTGGTCTGCAGAGTGAGTCAAGCCTCCAGGTATGTTCAGTGAAGACTACCCACTGTCATGCAAGTTTTAAAATCAGTTGCCAGCTTTTAAAAGATCTGAACACAACTGAGCTTTTGCAACCTGAACCTATGACTTCCCCCAAAATATATGGAAGATCTTGCAATGATCCAAGCTTTTTAAAGATGAGTTGGAACTGTATGGCCTGACTTATAATGCTTATAAAGGGCATTGTTATGTAGTTTAGGAAATAAAAAATTTATAGAATATTCCCACATATGACTTGCCAGAAAGAGCTAGAAGAATATGTGCACCAAACATAAATCATAGTTACCAGGGAATGAAATAAGATGGGTGAGGTTGTTCCATAGAAATAGCAGCCCAGAATTTATATAAAGTATTTTACCAAGTTTTGATGCCACCTTAATAAAGATGAAAGCAAGTTTAATGCCTTAAATTCAGAGAAAGTCTGACTACCACTTATTCTAAGGGTGTTTTGTTTTCTTCAACACAGCAAAATAGAATTTCAATGCACCAGTGCCCTCAAATAACAATTGTTATGAATTCTACACCTCTATAAGAAAGGGAAAAACAATTGTTATGAATTCTACACCTCTGTAAGAAAAGGAAAAAAGAACTTACGCAGGGATTTTAAAAATAAAATTCATGGTATTTTACATGCCAATACAAATCCACTTTCACTTATATTTATCCCTGTTCTATACAGGTACAAATCCACTTTCATTTGTACTTATATTATGTCCAATTGATGGTAACCATAGACTTATCTCTGGATACCAAAACAGCATAAATCATTGTACTAGCTTTTCATTGTGGGAGTAAGATACACAACTTAAAGAAGAAAGGTTTACTTTAGTTCATGGTTTCGGCAGTTTCAGTCCCTGTCAGCTGGCTTCAAGGCAGAACCATCAAGGCAGAATGGCATGGCAGAGGAAAGCTCTCAACTCACAGCATCCAGGAGGCTGAGAGCAAGGGACGAGTGCCAGAAAGGAAGGAGCCAAAGACTAGATGGGGTCTCTGAGGTCATGTCCCCATAATCCATCCAGATATATGCTTTACAATCAAATAAATCAAGTCAAAAAAGTTGGCAATCAGAATTAACCATCACAGTCACCAAAGAAAGACTTGACTTCAGTAACAATCTATAGCAGACAGCTATCGATGGTTGTATCTACCTAGAATCTCTTGCTTTGCTGAATTACTGACACCCACCCCCAACCTTTCAATTTCCTTTTGGAAATTTACCCCTCACCCATTGTGGTCAGAATTGCTGATGAGAGAATCCAAGTGTACCCCTCTATGGGAGGCAGGATAATGCACCCCTAATTTCTGAAGGTTATGTATGATATATGGCAAGGGGGAATTAAGTTTATAGATATTACGGTTGCTAATCATTTGACATTAAAATAGGGGATGGGCGAATAGGACAAAGGTCTTTAAGAATGGAAGAGCACAGCAGAAAAGGAGAATGAGAGGAAGATGTGTGAAATGAATGAACAGAAGTGATACAGCACTGCTGGTTTGGAGTGAAAGATGGAGGACTGGGGTCCAAAACCAAGGAATGCAAAGGCCTCCAAAATGGGAAAGGCAAGAAAGTGGATTATCTCACGGGGCCTCTTTATGAAACATACCACATGCCCCACCTCGACATATGGATTTTAGCCCAGTGAGAACTGTCTCAGACTCAGAGCCTCCAAAGCCATAAAATGATATATTAGTGTGGCTTTAGGCCACAATGATTGTGTTGCTTGTCATTGCAGCAATAAGGAAGTAATACATGAACATTATCCTGGGATGCCCCAGCTGTTCTGGCAAATCAAGCTTCCTGAACTCTTCCAGGGGGAGCATACCAACAGCCTCTCTGCTCTATAATTTGCCCACTTTGACTCAAACTTTCCTCCTTCGTACAACTCTCAAGAATCCCTCTAATACATGTAGCCTTCTATTAAAACTGGTTGGGATTGGACTCCTGTCCCTTGCAATTAAGAGGCCTGATCACATTTACTAAGTCAGGCAGAGAACCATTTTTCAATTGATTTTCATTTCTAAGGATTAACATAAAAAGACCTTAGTTAACCAGGTAATGACAATAGTCAGAAGCCCCTCTTGGTAATGAAAATTTAAATGAAGGACTTTTGATTTTGATTTTGTTTTGCAGCACTGGGAATTGAATCCAGGAATTAACCTTCACACTGAACTAAATCCCCAGTGCTTAGCTTTTATTTTTTTCCAAGACAGGGTCTTGCTAAGTGACTTAATTGCCCAAGCTCGGCTTGAACTTTCAATCTTCCTGCTTCAGCCTCCAGAGTGCTGGGATTATAGGTGTGAACTATGACACCAGCTGATACTTGTTTTTATGACTTCTCTATTTTCCTGGTATTTCTCCAAAAAATAGAGAAAGAATAAGGACAGGACTGTATGGTAGACAAGCATCTGGGCTTCAGAGTCACGTAGATTGCAGTTCAAATTCCATTTCCTCTGCTCAGACTTCTGACCTGGAACATGTACTGTGGAAGGAAAAAGCCACATCACAGAGAGATGTGACTAGAGAGATGGGAGGGGTCCATGCATTGTTTGCAACCTACAATACCTCCGAACCTAATACCAACCTAACGGGTGCACAGGAAATGCTTGTGGAGTGGTAAGTGATTCTCCTGGCAACTCAGTTTTCAAATTTTGTAAATGGCACCAAGTTACTTGTGCATTGCACTTGGCCACCAAATTTTCTGCATAGCAATTTGACCTTCACGTTTCCAGCAGCTGTCTCTTGATTTTAAATTTGTTTCAGGAGCATTTATTTATTGTCCCCCTCCCTCCAAATTGCACAAGTATCAGCATTTTCCTAGCCTCACCTTCCTTATCTGTGAAATATAAATGATACCATCCAGGTCTTGAAGTCTAAGTGAAACAATACACATAAATCATACAGGTCTTGGCACAGAAAGAGTACTCAGTAAATGCTAGTTAGTTAACAAGATGAAACCATGGAGAGATGAGCCTCTTTGAGCTTCAAAATGCAGTTGGCATCTTTCTCAGATGTGGTGCTAGGATTTTTTTAAATAAAGTATTTAAAGTACCTGCCTCGCATAGAAATTTTGGTTTCCTCGGCCTTCCTCTTCTTGGAGAAAGGTAAACGTGACAGCATCCACATGAAATGGTTCTTCCTTCCCTTTGGCCCAAGAGTATCTTCCTGCTACTTCTGAGAGTAGGATTTGATGTGAGCTGGATGTGCTTGTCTCTGAAGCCGTTTTCTGAATATATGATCTCACAGTCTTGATAAACTTGCTTTCACTGGAAAGACCAGAGATAATGAGTACTTTCTGATTTTCCAGAAAAGTAACTCCTTAAATCTTTTCTATTTCCTCATTCCCCAAAAGTAGATTACTTGTAGGTATGTCTGGATTAACTGTACTTCTCAGTCTGGGTTTAAGTACCTGTTTGCCAATCCATTTTGCTGAAATTTATATAAGCATTGACTAAGAGGCTAAGGGCAAGATGATTTAAAAGAAAAAAGAACAAAAGATTCCCATTGAGACATTTTTAAAACAGTTTTTCTGGGTTACAAGTATCTTTGCTGGCACATAAGTTATGTGGGTATATAAGGAGTATCTCAAATCTGTAATTACATCTTTGGGGGGAACTCTAAATATGTTTCATTGTACATGACCTCAAAGTAATTTTAAAATAGTCTTTGTTGGGAGAAATATTACTTTTGGTTCATTTAAGTATATTATGCTGTGTATCAAAATCCAATAGAAAAATTATTACTTCTAAATATGCAATAATGTTGCATTAACCCCGCAAAATATATATATATGTATAAATCAGCTAAAAGAAATATTTTGCTATCAGTGATTAATGTTCCAAAGCAAAGTTACAGTAATTATAAACCTAAATCTAATATACTAAGACATTAACCTTACTCTCCCTCTGAGAAGCTGTGCAGTGGGTGGATTATTATTTTTGTTAAGAAATCTACCTTGAGAAATATCCATGTTATAAAATAAACTATCTTACGTCTTTAAAAAGAAATGTAGGTTTATCTATGCTATGATAGTGTATATTGCACATCTCTGCCACTAGGGGCAGCATAATACACTATTTTACATTGGTTGCTGGGTAATTTGTAGGGAAAATAAAATAGCTTGCTTTGCGGCTTTAGAAAATTACCTTTCATGGATGTCAGTTTCCTCAGGAAGAGTCTGTATAGATGGACTCTGAGAACCTGAAAGTTAAAATCCCAAGACTCAATGATTATTGTTTTTAAAATGTACTAGTAGAGAGAACTGAGTTATAATTCCAGCTATGACATCGTTTTTATTCTATAACTTAGAGCAAGTCAGTTATGCTCTGTGTGCCTTAGTCTATTCGGGCCACTGTAACAAAATATCATACACTGGGTTTATAAACAACAGAAATTTATTTCTCACTTTTCTGGACATGGGAATGGCCAAGGTCAAAGCCCTGGCAGACTCACATGAGGGCTCACTTTCTGGTCCGCAGGTGGCTCCTTCATGCTGCGTCCTCCCGTGGTGGAAGGGAGAGGTCTCTTTCATAACTGCGAGTGATTTTTCCTGTGCACCTTCCCTTGTCCCCGTCTCCTTCTCCTTTCTCTTATAAAGGCACCAGCCAGTCATATTCTAATCCAGCACGACCTCATCTTGTTTGATTACATCGGCAAAGTCCCTGTTTCCCAGCAAAGTCAGACCCATAGGTGCCGGGGGCTGGAACTTGAACATACTGTTTTGAGAGACAATACAACTCAGTAGAATGATGATGATAAGAGGAAAAATGTGGGAAAGATGAGAAGAGAGATAAGACAAATAAATAATTGTTGAGCACTTGCAGGGTGCTAAGTTCTTTACCTGAATTACTTCACACAGTCCCCTCATAAGCTGTATGAGAAGAGTATCATGTTCTTATTATCTTTGCTTTTCACCCAAAAAAAACAGGCTCTAAGAGGTTAAGACTGTTGCCTAAGGCCTTTCTACTAGTGGAATGATTTGAGATTCACTTCAAATGCTGACCAGACTCCTGACCACAGTGCTGTATTTTAACCCTTAGAATGCTACTTTCTGTCCCTTAGGGGTCCACAGCTTGATAAATAATCTTCTTAAGTGTTTATCTCCACAAAATAATAAACCAGTCTTTGTGCAAAAACAACAATGCACATGTTGACATTAGGTGATGTGCGGATGCAGCCCACAGAGGAGGGACAGCATTCCTCTCCTTGTTATTTCAAAATCATATGGACTGATAGGAAGTTGCTGCAAAAAGTAACGCAGAAAGTCTTATGTATCCTTCACCCAGCTCAGTGGTGACGTCTTATATAACTGTAGTGCCATATTAAAATCAGTAAATTGACCTTGGTACAATATTTTTAACTCAACTACAGATTTTATTCAAATTCCATCTCCCTTTCTCTCTCTCTCTCTCTTTCTCCCCTTCCCTCCCTTACTCCCTACCCTTACCTTACTCCAGTTCAGTGCAATTTTATCCTATGGGTAGCACCATGTAACCACCAACACAATCCTGATATACAACAGATCACCACAAAGATGCTCCCTCATCCAAATTCTCTTTTCAATTCACTTCACTACTTCTTTTTTTTTTTTTTTTTTTTTTTCCTTTTTTTTTGAGACAGGGTCTTGCTGCGCAGTTCAGGCTGGCCTTGAGCTCACTTTGGAGCCCAGGCTGGTCTCGAACTCCCAGCAATCCTCCTGCTTCAGCTTCCTGAATGCTGGGACTACAGGCGTGCTCCACCACACCTGGCTTACTTTACCACTTCTAAAAGAAAGCCACCATTGGCATTTACTATCTCTTTACCACCTACCATTTTTCACTCTCTTTCTCTATGAAAATGGTCTCAAGTTCCAGCCTTAAGGGTTCTTAGCAGACAGCAGAAGCTTATACTGACATGCACTGGTATTATTTTGTTTTCCCCTCTAATTTTACCCAGGTCTCTCTGTGGCAGGAAATATTAGTTTACCAAAGCCATGAGCAGTGAGATATATCTTCCTTTCAAGCAGAGGTAACAAAAATTGGCCACAGTGAAGAAAACAAGAAAATAAAACATAATACAGCTAAAAAATAATAATTCAGAAAGGGCAAAGAAGCTAGAGAAGGTGATATGCAAAGACTTGAGCTTTGCAGAATGCTGGGTTAAGAACCATTTCAAAGCTAACTTAGACTCAATCCAAACACTTGGAGGTGTTTTAAGACATCCAATTGGAAGAAGACAGAGCAAGCATTGTCCCTGAAAAATGCATAGCGTGCTCACTAAAACTAGAGATTAAAGGAACCTGCTTCTATTCCTGTATTTCAAGGCCTTTTGGTTAAGAAGATTTCAATTTGGCTGGTCACTCAGAACAGTGAGTCACCCAGCCAGTCTTTGTATTCCTCATGTTATTAAATATTGCTGCTTCAGGGGTGGGTGACACACTACTGCCAGGACAAGGCAGTCGCTTGATTATGAAGGTCTGGCAGGTGGCTGCTGCCCTGAAAGGAGGTGATGTCACCAAAGGGCAGGTCTGTAGTTTTCACCGATGATCTGGGAGGAAAAGAGAGAGCACTCATCAAATCGGTCCCCAGGAGAACCATACACACATGCTGAAACACTATCAGCACAAAAGCTGGATAAGAGCATAGTTTAACCAAGTCTTTAACTCATCATTTTAGCCTTCATGTCTCTTCTTTCAGAGTAATTCAAAGAATGTATTATGGGGCTTTCAGATAAATGGTTGAAGGCCACACTGAGCCAGAAAAATCAAATAATTTGTAAAACTTTACTGCTGGAAATAATGTCAGGTCCATCATCTTTGGGATGGCAGGTTTGTCAGGTGATTTGGCTTATGGTCTCTGAAGTTTTACTTTGTATGTAAAATAATAGATTTGGTTTGTTTGTGTACATCAATTATTCACTTCTCATTTGCTCAATAACTAGCTGGCGAGGTTCTACCATGACCAGAAACTGTAATAAGCACTAAACCTAAAAGTATTGAATAGACACTGATTTTTACTTTCTTGGAGCTTACATTTCGCTGGAGAGGTGGAACAAAACAGAAAACATGTTATGCCACCTAGTAATGTAGGCTGTGGAAGCAAATACGAAGCAGAAGAGTTGAGGAGAGAAAGAGTTCCCCATGAAGGTGACAGTCATGTGATGACTCAGTAAATATTTATTCAGCACCTACTATGTACACAGCATTCTGCTGGTGGGTGAGGAGAAGCAGGTGGAATAAATAGGTTAAGCAGGCCTCTGCCTTATGCACAATACACAAATAGCAGTGATAATGATTATAAAGGATCAGGTAAAGAATTTTCTCTTCTTTCTTTCCTTCTTTTTTTGTCTTTTTGAGACAGGATCTTGCTATGGAGTTCACGCTGGCCTTGAGCTCACTTTGTAGCCTAGGCTGGCCTCAAACTCACAAGGATCTTCCTGCCTCAGCCTCCCGAGTGCTGGGATTACAGGCATGCCCACCACACCCAGCTTAAGAATTTTCCCTGGTATCCCTCTGAAACAGGTATAAATGTCCCTATGTTACAGTGAAGATTATGGGACTAGGAAATTTTAAATTATTCTTCACAGTGGAAAAGTGTTAGCACTGAGATACTAGCCCAGGTCTGTTTGGTTCTAAGCATGTTCCTTTTTCTATATAGATGGAACTGGAGAAGAAAATGGTGAGTAGATACCCTTTGTGAATTTTGAATATTCCCAACAAAAAGAAATTCTAAACGCCTGAAGTGATGGGGTAATATGCCAACGACCCTGGTCTGATCGATACACATTGGTGTATGCATTGAATTGCTACACAACAACCCATAAGAATGTGCAATTACTATGTATAAAATAAAAATATAATTAAAAATATATAACTATTCTTTGGGTCATGTCACCATATGTGAAAAGATCAACAAAAGACAAATATAAACTAAAACAAAAGGACTTCTTATCCCAGCAGATAAGTCAGAAGCTATTTGAGGATGTTATGGATCACAGGTTCACCATTCTGAATATCAATTATTATTGATCACAGATACATAGAAAAACTGACAAATTTTTAAAGGTGGTTCATAAGCTTCGAATAATAGGAAATTTGACTCCTAAAAAATAGATGAAGGAAAAACTGAGCGTTTGATGGATAGTAAAGCCAGGCATCTCTGCTGGATTCCAGATGCATCTACTCCACTGCCTGCCAACATCGGCCCTGGATGCCAGGCAGGCTACTCAGATGCTACATGCTCTACCCTGAGCCTGGTCGTTCCCCAGAAAACTGACTGTCCCACCGTCACTCCCACCTCACCCTCTTCCAGTAGCGCTGGACTCTCAGAACTCTCCCTTTTTTTCTTGGCTGGATATAAGCGATCAGAAAACCATGCTGACTTTACTTGAGTTTTCAAAATAGACTCAGAATCCAAACACTTCTCACTGTATCCACTTTTAGCATCCGAGTTTGAAACATCATCAATGCTCGCCTGGATTTCTGCAATTTCCTCATAACAGGGCTCCTGGCTTCTCTCCTTTCCTCTCTCTAGTCAATTCTCAACACAGCAGTTGGAGCAAACCTTTCAAAATGTAAGACAAATCACGTCACTCCTTGCTCAGAACCCTGCAGTGGCTCCCCATTTCCCTCAAGGTTGAGTCAAATCTCGTGCAGTGGCACAAACAGCCTTCACGTGATGGTGTGCTCCCACCCCCCATCTGTTCCTCCTCTTGTCCATCGGCTCCTCCACACTGCTCCCTTGACTGGCGCAGCACACATGTGCCTCCGTGCTCCCTCAGAGCTGTTCTCTCTGCTGGGACATTCTTCCCTCAAATGTCTCCAAGCTAATGTTCACCTTTTCCAGTGCTTTGCTGAAATTTTACCTCTCATTGAGGACTACTCCAACCATCCAATTTAAGAATGCTGCATGCCTTCTCTGCTGTCCTGCTCTGCTCAATCTTCTCCCCGTATCAGTATAGTATTTTTTTTATATTTGTCTGAGTTCTCCTGCCAGAATGGAAGCTCCCTGAGGGAGGGTGTCTTTACTATGCTCACTTATGCATGCCAAACCCCCAAAGCAGTGCCTCACATGAAGGAGACATGCAATAATTTTTATAGACAGAATGAAGAAATGTTCCAACTAGGAGACATGCTCTCTATTCTTCAATCTAAATTGAGGTTCTGTCTGTTCCAACACTGTCTAAAGAGTGAGACAATAAAATTTCATCATTCCAGTTTATTATGCACAATAGGAATGCTGAATAGGGCATTAGCAACAACGCTGGGGGGGGCCAAAATAGAGTAACCACTAAAAAATTATTCACAGCTTCACAGGGTGAGGGCCCAATATGGCCAGAAGCTGCTTTGTCCGCCAGGCAAATTGTCCAGCAGAATGGGACAGCCGCAGGGCACAGCACTTCAGAGGGGCCTGAAGTCCATTAGAAAATCTGGCAAGATGCTGCTCCTTGAATCTTTTCTTATTTTCTGTACAGAAAGGAAAACCAGATACTTTAGAGGGGAAGCCACTGCTGTAATAAAACTCTGCCCACCACTGTGTGCTAACGGAGATGGCAGAGCAGGGAGGGGAGAAGTACTACCTCCAGAGTAGCCTGGGAGATGGGTGCAATGCACAGGGGACAGGTGTCTGTGGTGTCACCATCTGTCCCATCATCACTGGAAGCAGGGAGAGATGGGGAAGGTCAGACAGATGCAGGGAAGTGGTGGGTATACTACAGGAAGTTGAGGGGCAAAGGTAAAGAAAACAAAGCCATTATTTTGGAGAGCAGTGTTGAGAATTTACCAGGGAAGCCCCCAAGGTTCAAGAGCAGGTCAGGTAAGTAGTCACACATGGAGAAGAGTTTGTTATAACAACTCCATCGGAAAACAAAGCAATATATCAATGTCTAGACAAGAAAGCAAAACGCTGACTACTATAACAAAAAGAGCAAAACAGCAAACTAGTCTGCCCACCTTTACAAAAGGAGCATTTATGGCTGGGTTTTCCTGGTCATGCAGATGGCCTTGAAGATGGATGGTCTCTTATTTTTCATGTACAAAGCAACCAAAGTGCCCAGCATAAGCCCTGAAGAGAGCCTGTGAAAGAGAATCATGCCAGCAGGTATCAATAGCCTTAAAAATGCCCATTTCCCTTGACCCCAGTCATACCATTCTGGACTCTTTGCCTTAAAAAAAAAATAATCCTCAACTATTCCAAAGGCTTTAAAAAACCAGTACATGGATAATAGGAGGGAAAAAAGGAAATGGTCCATGTGTCCAATTGTAGCAGCGTTGCTAAGTAAATTAAGATCTGTCCAAAAGTTCGCTTGTGATACACAGAGCTCAAAATATGGCATTCGGAGAGCTACTATAGCCTTGTTTTCTACAAGAAACAAACTGGCAACAACCAAATAGTTATAAACAGAAACTATCATACATCTATACAATAGAATAATAGGAAAGTCT